GTACAGGACGCCGCTGCCACAGGTTGACAGAGGCGGGGGGATCGCCCAAGTGACCGGATGGCGGTGCAATTGCAGCTTCCACTCCTCGGATGCACCCATGAGGTTTTCTCCCCATGAAGTCTCCTGTCGTTGCGCCGACTCGGGGGAGCGCAACAGGTAGTCCGCAAGGAAGCCGACAACCGCGCCTAGCCCCAGAACGCCCGCGGTCGTGTACAGGCGGCGCTTCGTTTCGCGTCGGGGCTTCGCAGGTGCGCCCTCCATGTCTCCGCCGTCGTTCCAGCCCTCTGTCTTCCAGTCCGCGGTCTTCCACCCTGCCGACTTTTCCAGCACCGTCATCCAGTCCCTAGGCACCCGTGTCAAGACCTCTGTCAACTCCGACGGATCTATCGGCCGCGTCATGGCCACGGTAAGGTCGTCCCGACGCTGCATCTCGCCACTCCCCTCCAGGATGGCGTGCAGTTCCTGCAAGTGTTCACCAAACACTTCGCGACATAACGCCTCCACCGCCTCCGGCTTGTTCCGCGGTCCGCTGCGCGCCAAACGGCGCCGCAGCGCGGCCAGCAGCGCCGCTTCCGAGCGCTGGTCGCTAGGAGGCCCCTCCTTCGGACGCCACACCATCATCCGGTCCCACTGCTCGAACCAGTCGCCCTCCACCATCGTCGTCAACGGCACTTGCTCGCTGGCAGACCCCAGCCCCACCCGAAACGCCTTCTTAGGCGCCAACACCAAAGCCGTCACCTCCCCGCCGCCGCCGCCTCCGTCGCCCGTGCGTATCGTAACCAGCTGCGCCACACAATCATCCAACTTCGTCTGGCTGCCATCCGGACGGATCAACACAGACAACAACTCGCTTCCCAACACGCCACTCGCCTCACTCTTGAGGGTACGCATCTTCAAACCAAAAAAAGTAAACTTCCTTTTGTTCTGCCAGACTTGGATCTGCCCCACGCGTGGTCTTATTCCCAAACCACAAAACGATTCCCACAGAGCAGGATCTAGATCGTGATCTCGCCATCCTGGTTATGGGCCGGACCAACGGACAAAGAGGTCATCGTGGGTGAGGCGAGCGGAGAAGTTGGAGAATCAGAGGAACGCTAGCTTTGCGCAGAGGAACGCTAGCTTTGCGCACGTAGGTGGACGCTCGCTTGCAGATCCGCAAGAATTCTTCTGCCCAATCTTTTTAGGAGGGAAGAGATTAAAAAGAGACAGATGCGAGATTGACCCCGTCTCACCCGTCGATCGTAACGTCGTTAATATATCATCCCGTCGTAGCTTGGTTGCCACTGAGTATACCGCCGAGTCGACGGTGTCCCATTAATGGTTGATCGATGCGGAGTAGGGACTACGCGTCTGACCCACTATACATCTTGTTCGTAGGTGGTTGTTGGTGGTGTTGATATTCGGATAAATTTGTCAGTCAATAATTCGCCATCGGTGAAAGCTTCGCCAGCTTCGTCGGAGGGCGGCGTACCGCGAAAACGTAGGTCACGACCGAACCGAAGAAATATATGATCGATGTATTGAGTTGTCAGCTTAGTTGTGCGGGTACGCTTGCGGGTGGGGGGGACACTGGTAGGCTTGCGGGTGGGTGGGGCACTGGTGGTGGCACGGGTAGTCGTACGAGTGGCCCGGCGGATGGCATCCACGGCCTTGTTCGCTTCTACGATCTGTTTGGCCTCAGGCTTTAGTTGCCAGCATGCGTAAGCGCATGTCCCGATGTCGTCGGTGTCGTCCCGGTAGTCGCGGAAGATGTTGGCCACACTGATCAGGGGCGTCATCATGTCGGTATGCTTGACCGGGTGATATCCTTTCCAGCTCTTGGGCTTCACCTTGCAGACGACGCTGGCCAGGTCGCAGGTGCAGTTGGAGAGCGCGAGGACGTCTTCAAGTCGGGCGGCGGAATCGCTGCAGACCAGATCGAGTGACCTGAAGACCCGGAAAATCTCCTGCTTGCGCGACATGTGCCCATCCGTCGGGGTTCCCAGGGGGAAGTAGTCAAGGAGTCGCGAAAAGAGAGACCACTGCATGCCATCGTGAGGGAAGCATGTCACCTCACATTTTTCACGAAAGAACCCGTGGGCGATATTCCAGGCGAGCGGGAAGGAGACGGGCCAGGGGCTGCCAAAGGCAATTTGGGTAGGACCCGTGCCGAAATTGTCGCAGCTCCCGCAGTACAGGACGCCGCTGCCACAGGTTGACAGAGGCGGGGGGATCGCCCAAGTGACCGGATGGCGGTGCGGTTGCTGCTTCCGGCTTGCACCCATGAGGTTTTGTCCCCATGAAGCCTCCTGTCGTTGCGCCGACTCGGGGGAGCGCAACAGG